AATAACATATAGTAGTTTATTGCTAATAATAAGCTGGGATGCATATGGATAATGATAAAAAGGTGCATGAGAGCGAGGAAAGCGTGTGGGCATCGATTCCATTGACGTTTCTGCGCTTGATTGATGCAGTCAGTGCCTAGCATGTTAGTATTACTACTACTATGGAGATAAAAATATTCCATTCGGTTCTTTCATTCATTATTCAAGCAGACATTATTTGGGGAGAGGAAAGGAAAGATGAGTGAGAGTGGAAAGTGTTTTTTTTTAAAAGAGTGAGAGTGGAAAGGGGGCCTTGTTAAACCATCGTTTTCGTCGTCCATTCTCCTTTGGAAGGCAAAAGTGGTTTACTGATGATGATTGAAATAGTCACTGAGCCTGTTCGTTGGTTGGTTTCTGTGTTGATAAGCTCGGTTGATGCTGATTTGTTATGAGAGAAAAATATTATTGGCTGGCTGATAAATCCTGACTAAAACCAACAAACGAACAGACTGACTAACATTTGGAGTTCTAGCCTTTTTGGATGATGTGAAAACCTAAAAAGAGGGCACACTTTTTTACTTTTGCCACAATGACGAGGAATTACTCTCTCACACGGCCTTTTTGAGTTAATAGTGTTCCAAATTAACACGTCACCGTGATAACCAAAGTTTGCTATCAGTAGTACACCCTCCGTTCCTTTTCTACGGCGTACTCCATCCATCCATGAGAGATACAACTATAGAATTTATTATGCAAGTCAAACTAGTTTAATTTTAATCAAATTTATAGTGAATAATATTAATATTTATGTCTCCAACTAGTTTATTATGAAAATATATTTTCAAATTAATTTTATGGTATTTATTTTGTACAATAAGTATTATTAATTTTTATAACTTTGATCAAACTTCAAATCGTTTGATTCATAAAAAAGCGAGAATCACGCCATTTTATGCACTGAGGGAGTATTTGGTAAATACTGTGACACGTCAGAAGAGGTGATGTGATGGCAAAAATATTAAGGTGAGAGAGAGAGAGAGAGAGAGCAAATGGGTTTCATCAGTTTCGTACTAACGAAACCTAGTTGGCATTGTTTCCAAACGAATGAAATTACAATTAAACTGCATTGAGAGCTTACAATTCTTTTTCGGCCAATCCCTCCAACATTTATCATAACATCATGCAGCGGTTAAATGTTATTGTTTCATATGGGGTGTTTGTGACTGCTCCACAAACTCTATCCCACAAACTCCATTAAAAAATATGGCTACTTTGAAACCACTCCATGAAACCAATTTAGAATGAGGGAGAGCAGATGGGTTTCATCAGGTTTCATACTTCAAACGTTATTTTCTCTCCATTCAAAAATGTGCGTGTGCACGAACCAAGGAAGGACAAAAAAAATCGTGTGGTAAACTGAGCGTATATTTTCCTTATTAATAAAAAACAACTGCACATATTTGTGAGAAAGGGAACAGGATTTAGCATGTGAGAGAAAGGACAGTCATTTTTCTTCTGGAATCTGTGTGCTCCACCAATGCGCTGGTTGTCCATATTTTACTTGGTACAGGTAATCCTCAGAATAAAGAACTGAGCAAGGACAAAGCAATATGTTCCAATCCACTAAACAAATGCAGATCCAGCTTCCATGTGCAATCCCCATGCCCCATGCCAGCAGCAAATCTGTGTTATTATAATCCCAGGTGTAGCATGATTATAATACCAGGGAAGGCACCTCCTAATAATAGTAGGAACATCTTCGATCTCATCATTAGATTAACAATATACAGTTCATTTGGGGAACTTAACCAAAGGCAGATCAGGATAGGGAATGAGGAATCTCAGCTGGCAACGCATCAGGAGTGCATGCAGCAACAAGCAAGGCAGGGGTTATTGTTTTGTTAGGGTTTTTTCTGGCCAACTCATGAACCCCAACAACCCAGCAAGCAGATCTTTGAAGCCCATGATGATGAGGAGCATCCATATGATGAGTTCCTCTTAAAGAGGCACCAGCATCACCGATCACATTAGCAAAGTCTTCATGTTCTCTCAAAATAAATAAAAAAACATATAAAAAAAAGTTTCTTCATTCTCGATGATGGAATGTTCAGTATCCAGCAGTGTGAGGAGCATGCAGCCTTTCAAAATATCCACTAGGAATATAGAAGCTCAACATTTTTTTCGGTCTATAAAAAGATATATATGATAATTAGTATGAACAGGAGTGAGAGAAATGCCTTTTGCATCCCTCCCTCCAACGCACACGACATATCTATCAATGTAGGCTATAGATGGTAAGTGTTTCAAGATTCATTCATATAGAAGGCTTGTTTGGTGAAGTTCCAACTTCTATTTCTCTGTGTATTGTCACAAGGATCAATTTTTGTCTCTGCTATCAAAACGAACTATTCTTTTGTTTAGGGGTGCAGTACATGGACGAGTTAGAGCCAGAACCGGTCGGGGCTTCACCAAACGGGATTTAAATATAAACTTACATGGAGTTTCAATAATTGCATGTCTTATGAACAGTTTTAGTTGAGTACATTAACGATTCAACAGTTGGCTGGTCTGGTTTTCGGACCAGCCGGCTGGTTCCTCCTCATAGGGGTACTGTTCATCAACCAGCCGTTATAGTATTTCTCTCTTACACAACTAGCCGCTACAGTATTTTGATTTTTTTTTCAGCCAAGCGAACGGGTAGCACTGCAAACCGTAATAATTATATGAATTATGAGGTAGCACTGCAGAGTGCAGAGAACAACCCCATCAGCAGATATACCCCGTATATATGTTATAATTGACGATTCTGTAGAAAGAACCAAAAAGAGGTGTAGCACCACAATGTGGTGGATATCATGCTCATGCGTTCGAGAGGAAATCATGTGTTTGTTTAAGCAGCGCGGCGCGGCGCAGGTGCATCCATCGATTGCGTTCTTTGGGAATTGGGCAGGAAAGATCACACCAAAGCAGCCAGGGCAGCTGGAAAAAATCAAAGAAAAAAACCCACATCTTTTTCACCCTCCCTGTGACTGTGCCTCTGCGGCTGCGCCAGCGCTGTCAGGGCGCCATGCCTAGGCTAATGCCATCACGAGCTGCATGATTTGGCTTGTCACGGCCGGGCGGGCAGGCCAGCCCCCATGGCCTCCGAGCGGCCTTTTCAGCGTCAATGGCGGCAGCTTTTGGAGCCCCCGCCCCAGCGCGACAAAAAGCATCGCCTGCCTAGTCCCTCCTCATCACGCACAGTGCCGGCGGTACTACGAGGCCGAAGTGCCGAACAGAGCACGCCATTTACTTGCCCTCTTTAGCGCTAAAAACATTCTTAGGACAAAAGCGTCGCGGCCTAATTGCCTACTGAGTACTAGTAGTCCCTGCCCCAGCTCTGGATCTTATCTAGCGGTCAGATCAGTCTCTACTACTACTCCCTAACCGTACGACCCCATGGCTTATCTCTGCCCCCCCCCCTTTTTTTGGCGGTAGAGCTGTTGCGAAGCAAGCACTTTTTTTTAACGACGAAACTGTATGGGCGGTCCTGCACAACTTGGCATGGGTGTCATCTACGTGTCTCAGCTTCGAAATGTTAATTCTATATCTATAAACTTGGCTTCGGATGTCATCCAGATGTAAATGGATCAAAACAAGTTCGGATGAAGATAAATTTTATATTAAAATTGTAGCCCTCGACAGGATCTACAACTTTGTAGTTGAAAAGTTTTTGAATTGGACCTGTTTAGGGTCCCAAAATACTGTTGTAGGTACGCAGATTTTGAAATTTAAAATTATCCGACAATCTCGGATGTTGACATGGTCTATATAAAAGCTATAGTTATCAGTACGATCTAAAAATTTATAGTTGAAAACTTTTTTATTTGAAGTTGTTTAGTGTCCCAGATACATGTTCTAAGTTTATAGATTTTGAAATAAGAAACTTAGAACACATATTTGAGATACTAAACAACTTTAAAAAAAAAAAAATTAACTACAAAGTTGTAGATTGTATTGATAAATATAACTTTCATATAGACCATATCAACATCCTAGATTTTTTGATAATTTAAAATTTTAAATTATGTAAACTTATAATATTATTTTGGGATCCTAAACAGTTTTAATTCAAAAACTTTTTAACTACAAAGTTGTTCATTCTGTTGAGGGCTGTAATTTTAATATAAAATTTATCTTCACTCAAGCTCGTTTGGACTTGGTGACATCCGAAGCCAAGTTTATAATCACTTGCCAAGCTGAAGGAGCGTCCGTGCATTTTCCTCTTTTCTTAGCGGAAGACGCTTTTTACTGATGCGGACAGTACTGTAGTACTAGTACTACACTTTGTATAGAGCTCGGCAAGCATTGCAGGAGTACAGGTGTGAACGTCAGTGTGAGAGCTTAATCATAGGTTAGCTTAGCTTCAGTCTAGGACCACGGACGTTAGTTAACAGAATCTCAGTACCAAACCATGCATGCAAGTATTATAATAGAATGCCCGTGCTAATCATGGGCTTAGCCATTATCCTACTCCTAATAGCAATCACAAGTACAGAGCCAAGTCAATTAATTTATGGGCGGAGGAACAGTGCTGAGAGGAGCAAAGGGGGAGGCTGCTTCCGTTTCGCGAAACATGCCACAGCACAACAGCATGGGATCCTAGGAGTCTAGAAGGAAGAACCCTTGCCTTGCTCTTGCTCCCCTGAGCACGCCTCTTGAATCAGATGAGCTCAATCAAAGTGGACAAGAACAACAACCAAGAAGGCTACTACTATTACCTCTTTTTGCTTGGGATGAGATGAGATAATCTAATCCTAAATCAGCATCAACATCATCATCGGATCCCAAGAGCATACAGTACAGTGCAGTAGGAGGAAGCTTGGATTTCTAGGCATGGCGCATGGCGGCATGCTTTCTTGGGGTTAATTTCTTAGCAGATGGAAAGTCTAAAGAAAAAGAAAACGAGTGATCAGATCACTGAAATTAAACTACATGTTTCTCTCTCCATTCTCCCTTCCCTCTCTTCTCTCTTCTCTAGTTTAAGCGGACTGCGGCGACGAAGCTCCATTGGCGTTGTCCGTGTGGTCGGCGGTGACGGTGGGCGCCGGGGCGGCGGCGCCGTTGATGTTGAAGCCGCTGGTGGCGCCGGTCGGGGACGAGGTGAGGACGGGAGGGGGAGGGGTGATCCTGGACGGGTTGAATAACGACGGTGCAGCAGCGCTGCCTTGGGTTTGGAGCGGCGCGGCGCCCGCGGAGGCGGAGGCGCTGCGGCGGGCGCTGTGTCCGCCCAAGAAGTTGTGCTTGTTGTTGTGCATCCAGACCTTGAAGACGCCCTTGCCGACGCCGATGTCGCGGCACCACTCGTCGACGATGGCCTCGTCGCGCTTCTGCAGCCGCCACCCGAGCCGCTCCGACAGCTCCTGCATCCGCTGCTTCTGCTCGGCGGTGAACTTGGTGCGGAACCGCTTCCTGGGCATAGGCATCGCGCCGCCCCCGGGGCCTGGCGGCGCGCTCGACGGCGTCAGCTGTTGGGCTGCTGGGGCCTGCAGCCTCTGCGCCGCGGCCGCTACCGCGGCGCCTGGCGCGCCGCCAGAGCCAAGCGAGAGCAGCATGTGCGGCGCGGTCGCGAAGTACGACGGCGGGGGCGGGGGCTGCTGCGCCACCGGCGCCGGCACGTGGTGCGGCGCGTGCGGGGGCGGGGACACCGACCGCTCCTCGTCGTACTCCGAGCCCTCCGAGTCGGAATCGGAGTCGTCGGCGTCGACGACCCCCGGGTGGTAGCGGTCCTCGGGCGTCTCCTCCCCGCCGCGGTGCGGCTGGCCGTGCAGCACGCTCGGCGGCGGCGGGAGCGCCAGCGGCGCAGGCGCAGGCGTGGGCGGCGGCGGGGAACCCTCCAGCGTCCGGCGGTGGAAGTTGCGGTGGCACCCGCACGCGGCGCACTTGAGCGACGTCGGGTCAGCCGGGTTGGCCCCCGGCGAGGGCATGAACTCGCCGCATCCGTCCACGGCGTGCCCGCCCAGGCTCGCGGCGTGGTTCTTGAGGCACTCCCGGTACAGCAGCTCGCCCCCGGCCCCGGCCGGCGCCACGGCCGCCGGCTTCACCTGCTTCTTGAGGGCGGCGCCGTTGGGGAACATGACGGGCTTGTACATGACGTCCATGGCTTCCATGCGGCGCGGCGCCCCACACTGGGCTTGACCGGTGGGGAGAGGTCCGACGGGGAGAGAGGGAGAGATTACCTCTAGCTCCTAACCCTGGGCTTTAGCATGGGAGAGACGACGGGTCAAGGGAGGTGAGAGGAAAAAACAGGTAAGGAGGTGAAGAGAGGGCGAGCGCGAGGAGATAAGAATAAAAAGAGCACCAGCAAGGCCAGTCACTGGCAGTGAGCGAGAAAGAGAGAGTGTGTGTGAGCTCTACCTACTGAGGAAGGGGACGAGCTCATTTATTAATTTAATTAGCAAGCCATGAAAAAATACACAAATTTTTTGAACGATACTCTATCTATCGTATGAAAAATATCGTTTTTGACTTTTAGACTTTTTATTTGACTGTTCGTCTTATTCAAAAATTTTATATAAATATTATTTATTTTATTATAACTTATTTTATTATTAGAGATACTTTAATAATAATTTATTTATTTTATTATTTGCATAAAAAAATTGAATGTAGCATATGCAAGTAGTTGACATGCTACTTCCGCTGTTTCGAGGTATAATTTATTCTAACTTTGTCCTAAATCAAACTTTTTCAGATTTGACTAAATTTACATAAAATACATCAACATCTAGAGCACGAAATGATTTCCATGAAAATTGTTTTAATAGAGCATTTATTTGAAATTATAGATATTAATATATTTTTCTAATAGCATTATCAAAGTTAGAGATGTTTCACTTGATGCAGAGCTAAAGTAAAATATGATTTGGAACGAGGGCGAGTAATTGTCACCGACTATAGCAACTCAATACCATACGTGATTACACGGATTAAATGAAATACACTATTTCCTTGAATATGGATGATGATAACATATACTACGTTTGAACCATAGTTGATAATTGTTTCCATAGATGTGTGGCTAAGAATCAGAGTTTCCGTTATCACCGAATAAATCGTGAACCTGGTTGTTTGTATTTGTTTGACTGCTGATTCAGGTAGTAGCCATTTTCATGTTAAAGGGCTATGTATGAATTTATGGACCATTATTATGTCATTGTCACCAACTTTTACAAATCTTGCCCCAGGTCCCTCCTGATCCTTAAAAAAAATCTCAAATATTCCTCAAGTAACAGAGTATAATACTGTAAATATATTTTAAGGGGACTACGGTGGGCTCGAATTTCCTTTTCTTTTTTTATGCGAGGTGCTGTTGCATACAGTGTGTCTTTAGGATTTACAAGATACATTGCAGCTTCAATCGCTCAATTCAGCTTTGTCTTCCATAAGAGTATAAGACGAGTCAGCTCCAGTAGCGTAGAGAGCACTTGAGCAGGTGGCTAGCCCTAATTACGATCATCCTTCCATATGTGCCGCCTTCTTTTCAAAATAGTTGACACCTTTGACTTATATTATTCACGTTTTGATTGGTATATTTGTTTAAATATCCAGCTTCTTAAAAGAAAATGAAGGATTCTACCGCTTAATTAAGAACAAATGATGTAACGAACAATATAATACCTAGATGCTAGCACTTAGCGACTCACAAACAGAGACCACCATACATCATCGTTGCCGAGCTTGAAGTAAAATGAAAAGCGTATCATTAGATTAGTTATCAAAAGTACTTTACGTGTATCATAATATGCACATTATGGGCTTGTTGCCCCTCCGGAGGAGTAATTGAGGAGGAACTGTGTCAAACATGCCTTAATACAAAAATCAAACATTGAAAATGAAGTCAAATTTGCTGAGTGTTATGAAGCACAAGTACATTGTTGTTTTTGTGTTATTTAAACACTACGATGAGAGTGCCTTGCATCCTCTGGCCTTAAACCGTCTATAGTTTTGGACTTGCGTTGGTCAAAGGCCTTCTCAAATTCAAGAAAATATGGGACATGTTTGGCAAAGCTCCCTGCCGAGAGTGCTATGCCAAACAATATTTATAATTGTGAATTGATTGCCTACAATGAAATAGGACATTGGGTGTTAAAAGTTAGCTTCTCCTAAGAGCAACTCCAAGAGAGTTGGTAAAAAATAGATGGCTAAACCTATAATTTAGCCAATCTCTAAAATAAAAAATCCCCACAAAAAAAAACTCCAACAACCTTTCTAGTACGGCGAGGCAGATGGCTAGTGTCACATGCAAGCTATATTTACCATGCGAGAATTCCAGGATAGATGACTTGCTATTTTAGAAAGCCATATACAAGAGCTATTGGACTCTCTTTTCTTCCCAAAATAGTCAAATATAGATTACACGGCATGGATGGCTCTTCTGTCGGAGTTACTCTAGTTTACTTCCGCTCAAAATCATTTCCTTCATAAAGTTTATGTTTATGAGTTTATTCTACATAATCACTTTAAGCCATGAGAGAACCACTCCACAGTTAAAATCAGAACAAAAGGGATCTATTAAATAAAGCCCTTAAGTGACACTGGTTTTTATTAGCACCTGAATTAAGTTCTATAGACATAAAAACTAGTGTTCCCTCCGTCCCATCCCATAAAAAAGAAGGTATTATAGGATTTACAAGACACATTAGTGATGAAGCAAAATGACCTAGATACCTCACAAAAGCACTGATGAAGGGTGTCAAACAGCGTTGGAATACTAATAACAGAATGTCCTCCCTTTTTAAGAAAAAAATGGACTCCAGATTATACTTTGTGGGCTATCAGGTAGGTTACGTTTAAGACTTTAAGATGAGCCATCAGTCAGTCAGTAGCAAATACTCCCTCAATCCCAAATTATAAATCATCAATGTCTAGAACACCTTGTAATTTGAAACATAAGGAAGGAACATCCGGTAGACTTTAAATTAAATATGTCGTGCCGCGCCCCTTCCGGAGAACCGGAGGACATAAGCAAACCCGTGGGCGCACGCCACGTTTCGGGGCTGCGTCGTTAGGCTGTCCGCACCGCATAGCTCCAAACCGCCCTGAACTGCAAATATACAGTCCAGACTCCCGCACCGCACAACTCTATCTGCTCCCCAATCCTTCCGTTCGCTACAGGGAATCTGCAAACCCAGCGTTCGTGCTCTCCACCGCTATCCTCTCCATCGCAGCAACCGCTCCTCTCGCGGCAGCCCTGCGAAGTGTCCGCGTCCACCCCGACGACATCCTGAGGAAGCCGGCGGTCTCCCTCAAATCCGAGGGCATTGGGGGCGGAAGGGAGGGGAGGCAGTGCTCGCCGGAGAGTGCAGGGGCGGGTCAGCAAAGGGGGCCGGGAAGCGTCACTCACCCTGTCGACGGCGGCGGAGAGAGTTGAGGTGGGCGTAGACGAACTCGGAGGAGAGCTCTACAACACGGTCGCCCATTCGCCATCGACGGAGAAGGTAATCCCTATCCCTACAGTCTGTGCAGCCTCTAGATCTAGAGGCACTCGCCCGCCGTGGCCGCTGCGACCCGCCGCAGTGGCCCCGCCGGCCCTGCCGTGGTCGGCCCACCGTCCCCGCTGCGAGCCGCCTCGCTCGCCCCCCGACCCGCCCCCGCGCTTGCACCCCGGCACCGCCGCGGCGCTCGGCCTCCAGCACTGCCGCCTTGCTCGCCCCCGGCACGCCTGTGTGATACTTTCTCCATGTATTCAGCCTCAGAACAGGGGAGTTTGGATTCTTGGGGAATTAAATTGGCCATGTTCTGATGAGCAGCAAATCGGTAATTTAGATATTTCATCCCATGGGGGGTATAATCCCAAGTCGAATTTTAAACGGTTTGCCATCAATTCGGTCGATTCTAGTCTAGTGCTAAGTAATTCATCTTCTAGTTATCTGAAACATCAGAAGCTTTGATTGATTTTGTTCCTCCTGCTTGTAACATTTATTTGTATGAAATTGTTCCATGATATGCTTATAGATTTAGAATCTTGCAGTCTTTTCTTCATGTTTTAAAATAGAGCAAGAGTTCTACCATTCATTAAGATAAAGGGAGCAAAGATGTTATGCTATTTTAGAAATGCTAGGACCAGCACACCCGCTGCTTAAAGAATTTGGATGTTCTTCTGCTATACTCATTATACCATTTACTTCATGTTATTGCAGGATGAATCATAATAATTTTGATGAAGCTGGTGACGACATTACTGGTTTCGGCCGGGGTCTTCCAATGTCAGGCTTCTATGGAGGGTGGAACCTAGGGTTGCAACCATCTTCTCAGCCGTACCCATTTTTCCAGGGGGGTGGACCGCAGCTCTGAACCAAGGGTTCATGCCACTCCCAACTCCAGCATCATCTCATGCACCCCATGCTCAAAATCAGCCTATCGCTGCAACGGTCGAGAGTGTTGAACAAGCAGTAATGAAAGAGAGTCAGGGTGATGGGGAAGGAGCATCGGTGGCAGCTGGTCGACGACGCAAGGTCGTACCTAGTCGCAGCAAGTTATCCATCTTCTCCCCAAAAGAAGATGTGTTCCTTGTGAAGTCATGGTGGGAAATTAGCTATGACCCAATTATAAATACATTGAAGAAGAAGGAGGGGTTCTGGGCTAGGATTACAAGCCAGTACAATAAAAAGAGGGGTTCCTTTCCTGAGAGAAGTTTCAGATCGCTGCAGAGTCGTTGGGAAACTATCAAGGCTGAAGCGAGTAAATTTGCAGGGCACATGGCAAATGTTATTCGAGACAATCCGAGCGTGATGAGTGATGCAGATAAGGTGAGGGAGACAATCTGTTATTGGTATTTGGTTTCAACTACAGTTTGCTTCATAATTCTAACATTGTGTACCCTTTTTGCAGACCTCTTTAGCTCTAGCTAACTTTGCAGACATCGAACCATAACCGTTTTTTACATGCATTGCTGGGATTTGCTGAAGGATGAGCCTAAGTGGATGGAGCTCAACATCAGGGGGGCACAACCTGGAGACGACGATGCAATAGCCGATCACATTCCCACAGCCGCCACCAATATCGATCATGACCCGAAGACACCGTCTTCTCAGTAACACATGAAGCAATCCATGACTACCATATTATAGAAACACACCGTCGACGGAACTGAAACGCCGAGTAAACA